GGCCCCCTGCAGCCTCCCAGTGGCCGCTCGGCAGCTGTCTGAGGCTGGGATGCCCTGAGGCAGCCAGAGCTGGGAACAGAGAGTTTTAGCCTAAGACATTGCGGAGGAACATGAGCGTTTGCTCTGAATTGCAGTCCTTCGGGAGCCAGCTGTTTTGGCCGCTCTCCCGCAAAGAGGAAGGGCTGGAGGAAGGGCGGCGTGCGCTTGGAAAGAGAAGCTGTGGGAAAAGGGGACAAAGGGGAGAAAGGGGGGGGTGGAGCAGGCACTGACTTTGGGGAGCAACTGCACAGAAGTCAATTCTTGTTTCAGTAGAGGGCAAGGAAAGGCCGTTCATGCAACAGCCACCAGGTCTGCTTGTAGAGGGGACGTGAGCCAGGCAACCATATGGGGGTGTGGGGGGGGGTCCTGGTCTGGGAGACTCTCTCAGCTGCCGAGTAAGATGGAGTTGGGGAACATAGCAAGGTGGCTAGGAGCCCTTAGAGTAGACTGGATCTAGCCCTGGTCCTTCTTTGTTCCACCTCACTGGGGTTTTGGGACGTCTTCTGGGCAATCCACCATAGCCAGCTTTTTCCCGCGTCTCACAAGGCAGGTGTACAGTCTGGATCTGTGGGTGTTTCCTTCTGCTGCCCCTGCCGTTTCCAAAGCTGCTGCTGTGGGAGCTCTTTGCTGCTGCTCCTGCCAGCCCTGGCCACTTTCTTGCCTGTATGTGTTAGGATAAGGGTCTCCTTGACAGCCGTAGTGTCCAGCACGCTGCAGAGCTGGCAAGCTTTTCTCAGGCAGGAATGGTGCCACGTATGTGTTTATAGCAGGGTATAAAGGGTCACACTGCAGCTCAGCCGTTGGCTTCTCGCTCCCAGCATCACACAGGCCACATGGAGCCACATACGCATGCAGAGTAAGCAGTTTAACCTACCTGAAGCCAGGTTAAATGAGGGAGAGCTGCCCCCCCCCCACCCCCCGGGGCCACAAGTTGTATTGTTTTAATATTTTTGGCAGTTCAGTAAAACCATGATAACAACCCCCCCCCCCCACACAAACCTCCTCCGCCAGTGGCTTGCTGTGATTTTTAGTTTAAATCCAGTCTCAAGTTGCATCAAGCCGGAAAGCTGTTCCTCATGGGGGAAAAGCCTGGACATTTGCCTGGGGCCGTTTGAGTCACAGTAAGTCAAACCCCAAAGTCTTTTGCGTTGGAAGACTAAGTGCTACCGAGGCAGCCCACAACTAGGTGTGGAAAATAGTTTGCGGCATGTGTTCACCGCTATACAGCTGCTAACGCGAAAGCACCAGAACCGCTGGGCTCCTTCACCCAGGCCCCAGGGGCACACTTGGGTCTCTGGCGGGGAGATGGCGCGGGCGCTGCCGGCCGTCGTGGCGTTACCAGCAGGGCATCGCTGCCCTCTAGTGTCCCTGCTTTGTACTGCGACCTCTGCCTAGCTTCAAGGGGGCCTGGACCCTCACACCCACCTCAAAAACTGTCACCTCGCCAGCTGCAGGGACCGTATCGCAGCAAATCGTGTGCGCTGGCCAACCCAGCCAGAAATAATTAAATCTGGAGGTGACAATTTTTTGCTGTCGCAGCTCATCCTGTCTGCATCTCAGATGTGCCATGTGACCCTTGCCATTGAATGAATGCCTTTATTCCCAGTGTCACCCCCCCGGGGGACGCGCGCGCCCCGCCCCCACC